TATATAGTCATACATGCGTAAAAGTGATTGTATATCCTGCATTGAGTATAAGGCAGCAAGGAAACCTTTATTCTTTCAGCGAGCATTATTCAGTAGTCCTTGATTCATGGGAAAACAAGGAGAAAATCCGTGCGCTGGTTACACCTACAGTTCTATATATGTGTTGGTTCAGTATTTCTCTGAACTGATGTGAAGTGTCCTTTTTTATTTAGGTTGAAACTGTTGATGACTATGACGAGTATTGCCACTATGTAGCCGGGCTAGTTGGTTATGGACTTTCCAGACTCTTCTATGCTGCTGGGACGGAAGATCTGGCTCCAGACTCACTGTCAAATTCAATGGGTCTATTTTTACAGGTATGTTAATTGTTGTGAATGAATCAACTGAGCCATTTTTTGCTCCCTGTGTGAAATGGAATTTCTGTTTTAAGAATTTGTGTTGCTAACAATTATTTGTCATCAAATTGCAGAAAACTAATATAATTAGGGACTATTTGGAGGACATAAATGAGATACCAAAGTCTCGCATGTTCTGGCCTCGAGAGATATGGAGTAAATATGCAGATAAGCTTGAGGTACACAAAATATTCAACTTGTTTTTACTGCAATTGAGTAGCTTCACATATGTCATATGTTCTAAGACTAAATTATCACACATCCAGCAATATTTCTTATTTCATGATATGTGTTATGTGTTCGACCTGTTGGGGCCTGGGGGAGTCCATAACTGCTGGTTATAGATATAGTGAACAATAAATAGTCAGATGTTATCTACCTAGTCAACCTTATTATGCAGGTTGAACTTTTTGCTGTAGTAATAAATGTTTTTTCTGTGAAACCAGGATTTCAAATATGAGGAAAATTCCGAAAAAGCAGTACAGTGCTTGAACGATATGGTGACTAATGCACTAATTCATGCTGAAGAGTGCCTTCAGTACATGTCAGCCTTGAAGGATCATGCCATTTTCCGTTTTTGTGCAATACCCCAGGTACATAACTTGTTTGACTTTATTTTGCCTATTGAGGACCTAGTTTTTCAACGCTATTCTGGTGCTCCATTCGTAAATCTAGTTCCAGAAGATTGAACACTGTTATTTAGAATTGTAACTCAAATCTGCACATAAACCCTCTCTCAAAAAAGTACAATTAGATGTGTTTGTAGCTCTGGAAAACAATGTTAAAGTCTGCCAGTATTCGTGGAAACTACCTTATAGCTCATATCTGAGTTAAAAAAAGGTTTAACTTAAGACTTGTTAATATATCTGCTTTTGTCAGACAAAGTATACCAAGATTAGCACTGTCCTTAAAGCATGTACTTGTGGTATTTGGACAAGTTTCTCAAAACTGTTATACTATCTTTTTCCTGGAAATACCCAAAACCTTTGTATTTTAACTACTTAAAGTAGTTACTGCTTGGAATAATAGTTTAGCGGTTATGGTCTTATGGAAAGCCTTTTTTTTAAATCATGTTTCATAGCTGAGGAAACTGTTAGATTTTTAGACTCAGTCGAAATATGATATTCTGCTAAGTTGCTCTGCGAGCTTTCTTCTAAAAAATCTCATTTGTGGGGAAATCTAGATTGCATTCCTGGTTTTTTGACTGATCAAGAATGATTCTCCATCTATCTTGGTCCATTATTTAATTTTGTTTTGCATGTTATATACTTTGGTCCTCAATATATTCTTGAAAGTATTTCCTCCATAGGATACTAAGTTGCTATTTCCTGTTTCTAGATAATGGCAATTGGAACATGTGCTCTTTGCTACAATAATGTGCATGTCTTTAGAGGAGTTGTAAAGATGAGACGTGGTAAGCTACTTTTGTAAGACATACTGTACTTCTCCGAGACTTATCTGTCTTTACCTCACAGAAAATGCCTGTGTGTTCTCGATTATATCACCTTGTCGCACGTAAGCTTGATGAAATCTATTTTGGAGTTCTGCAGTGCTTTGCTTTTGTATGTATATTAGTATATACTACATCCCGAGAGAACATACTATGTTTCCTTGATTTCTTTTGATTACTGCTATGTGATTGGTGTTTGATCACTGATGCAATGCATGTTATGCTTTAGGGAGAAATGTGTGTCTCTATCACAACCTGACACCCTGTATTTATAAGAGGCACAGAAGTGCAATTTGAAACATGCAGGGCACCTACTATTGTTTATGCATCTGTTTTGGATTTGTGGAGAAACATATGCACATGAATGGGGCTGTTTTATCCTTTCCGTACTTTTTTTTGCGAGGGGGGGGGCAACTGGATCTGCATCTTACAATTGCCTCTGGTTCATTAATCACTAATCTAACTACTATAAAATGCAAACTCCGTTTCTGTATCTAATTACTCCCTTTCTTAACATCATATGACTATTCTATTACTCTGTTTTGTGTACATAATTACCTGACACTTTTTTGCTCTTAGGTCTCACGGCACGAATAATTGACGAGACAAACTCAATGTCAGACGTCTATACTGCTTTCTATGAGTTTTCTTCATTGATAGAGTCAAAGGTACACTATAAAGTACTGATTGTTGATGCAGCCAATATGGAGTCTAGTTGCCTTTATATAAATAGAACATCCATACTATTTATTTATAGCATTCCTTTGTATAATACTATGAAATTTGATAGGATGTAGGTCGATCCGAACGAACTCCACTTAATTGGCTGTTCGCTTGCCACCACTCTTTTGGTTTGTGGTCAGTAAACCATGAGAACTATGTTCAAAAAAAGTAAATCATGAGAACTTGGGTGAATTAATCGGTCAACCCAACCTGAGCTACTTGCACCACAACAAAATTTATTATATCCATCAATATCATTGTATTGGCATTCTATCATGTTCCCATTGAATCACGCAAATAACTACACAAACATCAGTTTAGAAATTGTTCATCGGGTGGGCAGCCTGTTATTATACTACTTCCAGAGTTCCAGTCGAAATTAGTTGCTGTTTCAGACAGCCCAAATCGACCTGCAATTAGTTTATATCTTGCTGTCAGAAATGTCAACAAATCCTGACCAGTGGGGGGTATATATGTTAACCAGTTGGCCATTTAGACTACATGTAGAGGTTTCGACCTTGAAATCCTTAATCAAGTTCTTGACTCCCACTGTCATCTACAGAACTCGCCATTGATTTAGGGCCTGTTCGGCAGGACTGAAAAATACTGTTCCGGTTGATTGTTGTGAGAGAAAAATACTGTTCTAGCAGGACGTGAACAGTGATTTCGTGAGGGATAGAACCAGCCAGCCGAACGGCCCCTTAAGCTGGTAGTGTGTTAATGCTGTCCTAATGGATAAGTATAAGTTTATTTAGAGCAAGTTGCCAGGTCCTGACCACCTTAGTACCATTCTGTCTCATTCATGGGGTCAGTCATGACGAAACTCTAAAAGGCTTCTGGTTGCTGTTCGAAACTTGATGCATATCTGGTCTATGTTCCAGATTGATGACAATGATCCAAATGTTGCTCTAACACGGAGACGTGTGGGTTCAATAAAGCAAACTTGCAAGTCGTCTGGTTTGGTAAAGAGGAGGTACGCCAATAAGAGTTGCACTTCTCTGTTTGGCATTTTCATCCTGAATTCCTGATTGTCTGTCTTGATTCTGTAGGGGATACCATTTGGACAAGTCACCTTACAAGCCCATGCTGGTAACCCATAATCTGTAAATTCATATTAGCATGCTGCTATATAATTTGTCAATATTCTTCTGTGATTTCCTCAGATCATGATTGTCCTCCTGCTGGTGGCTATTCTTTTCGGAGTACTGTATACCAAGTGATGCACTTCTAGCTGGCCTTTTTTTCTATGGAGACTTGAGAAAAACTATGCCGATCTGGTATGGCAAACAATTTGAACAATTTAAACCACATTGCTTTGAACAATTTCCATTTTCCCCGAGGCTGACTATGTTGCGTTACTGGTTTTGTATAGGTCCTTTTTGTACTCTGTGTCTCCAAAGGATGCAGGAAATTCGGAAGTACTGACTGTAGATCGATACGGCAGCATGCTACTGCTTCCATGACTCTGCTGCTGCTCTCAATTTGTTTGTTCATTTTATTTTCTCGTGCGGTGTATCGTTTGAAGCTGTTTTAAGTAGGGAGAAAATACCACGCGACATGTATCCTACGAACATGTGTTTCTGTTCAGTTAGCAGTGGGCACACTGTAGTTTTGTGTTGTGTTGACATGTCTTCTTTTCAAAGTTGATGTGTTTGTGTTTACCAGAGTTGTGTAGTGGAGAAAAAAAAATTGCCGCGTTGACCTTGAGCAGTCACTCTGAACTTTACACCGTCAATAATATGCGAAGATCAAAAAGATAATACGCCGGCAGTAATATGCGAAGACTACCCCTCCTGTTTTGTTTTCATAAAAAGGATAATATGCGAAGATATCGTGGGTTAAGTATATGCATACAAGTACCTAAAATTGATGCGCAGCCTAACAGTACTAGAGCGAATATCACATCGACCTGGCCATGCTGACCACTGTACCTCTATCCCATCATGTATCGACGGCGATGGTATATTGCTCACAAATGAGTACAATAAATAAAGAAACGGAGCCATCTCTAGCACTAACAAGTAGAGACATCAGCAATGCCCAACAAACATACAATCCTTCCTTCTGATGAATAATCAACTGCAATGTAACGCATTTCCATTTTTATCAGTGGTATAATAATAGCAACGAGACCACCAGAAAATATTAACCAACCACCCAATAATACACATCATCCAAAACTAACATGAGCAGCAAAGAACATCCCAACTACCCCCACACGGCAATAACACTCGGTAACAAATAATAGCCCAGCACGGGCAAACAGAGAGCAATAACCAATAAGCCAATAACCAACCTTCACTAAGGTATATGGGGACTTTCTCCAGCACCATACCAACCACCCAGGGTTGACTACAAACTCAACATCTGTTTTCGGTTAATGCCAACAGAACACATTTCAGTTAAGTTCTCGCTTGACTAGGGATCAGTATCTAGTCCCAGGAACTAGTTGCACCACCACCGTAGCCGCCGCCATATCCACCACCACCACCACCATAACCGCCGCCACCATATCCACCACCACCGCCGCTGTATCCTCCTCCACCGCCTCCTCCCCTGAAGTCCCGGTCACGGCGGAAGTCACGGCCACCAAATCGAGCACCACCTGATCGGCGATTTCTACCACCGCCACCACCACCACCGTATGAAGAACGGGCAGCATAGTGCTCAAGCCATGTTGGAACCTCTTGGTTAGCCTCCTGCATTAGATCACATAATGGCCTTGCTAGCGATAGGTTGCCCTCATTGAAAAAGGCAGTAGCTAGACCAGATTTCCCCGCTCGTCCTGTCCTCCCAATACGATGAACATAGTCATCTATATCATTTGGGAGGTCAAAATTGATGACATGAGCAACGTGAGGTATGTCAAGTCCACGAGCAGCCACATCAGTTGCAACAAGTATGGGTGTTGCTCCACTCTTGAAGGACCTCAATGCATACTCTCTTTCCTGCACAGACAAAGCACAATGATGTTATGGTAAATATCACGGTATTTCATCCTGTGCCATGCAAGAGACTGAATACAGATTTTAGAGAGATGTAATAAGACCAAAATGAATGAAAATATTGACCCCATGTGTGGAATGGTACGTTTAAATATCAATTGCATTTGCATGCCTTGAGAATACCAAATCTGATATCTTATTTTCATAAATCATTTGGTGCCCGATTCAAATAAATATACAACTATGTCCATTATTGTAGCATCTTCCTGTTCACGCAGTAAGAAAAATGCCTACATGATGACTTGCTAATTTACCATCTAGAATGAACTGCAACTACAATTGAAGGAGGCAAGTCCGAGCTCTGCTGCACCTGTTGTGTTCGGTCACCGTGAATGCTTGTTGCAGGGAACCCGTTTTTAAACAGCCAGTCCTCCAGAGCATCAGCTCCCCTCTTTGTCTCCACAAATACCAAAGTAAGAGATTGCTGCAGACATCAGAACAAAAGTTGGTGGAAAATTACTGAGATCGGATTAATTATGGTAGTCTACTGTAGTGAAATAGAATTCACGGAACGATACTACATAACTCAAAAGTAAATCGCATCATATGTTGACAAAAAGCTCTAAATATCTACTCCCTCCATTCCAAATTGTAAGACGTTTTGGCTTTTCTAGATATATAGATTTTGTTATGTACTTAGATATACACTATGTGTAGATGCATAGCTAAAGCAATGTATCTAGAAAATCTAAAACATCTTATAATTTGGAACGAAGGGAGTAGTACCTTTCCATGGGTGCCGTTAGCTTTTTGTGCGTGAAGAAGGTCCATAAGGTAACTTCTTTTGTCTGCCTCAAGAACAAACTCAACCCTCTGAGCAATCAAATCAGTACTGGAACCAACTCTTCCAACAGCAAGGAATATGTAATCAGCAAGGAAATCTGAAGCCAGCCCCTGCACAACAAATTTATGATATTTTCATTAGCAAATCCAGCAAGCCCTTAGGCAAACCTTTTCTTTTCCACTTCATACAAGAAAGCTAAAAATTATTGCATACCAATTACAACTATTATAAGGATATAACAACTGAAAAATATATATATTTATATTCTAATTGCAAGTGCAATCAATAAACTTGTACTAGTAGCCAAAAGAATTTCTGACCATATCATGCAATATTAAAAAAAATGCTGATATGCATGCATTTTTAGCTTACACAGGTTCTGTAAAATGGAAATAGGCATCACTACAGTTGCTAGGAATAAATGACGAAAAAAAAACTTGATTTCAGGTCCTGCACATTAACTTTGCAACACTGAACATGACATATCTTCAGGGAATGATAATTTTATCAGGCAATAAGTGAGCAAAGTTCCATGTTCCAACTGCCTCAGCAACTAACCCAGATTGCTAGGCATCTAATTCAATAAATAGTAATGGAGTAAACATTATGGAATTTGACATATGATAGAAGCTAGAAGTGTGAATATGGAAAAAATACCTGGATTTCTTTTGGAAAAGTAGCACTAAACAGCATAGTCTGCCTCACACCACGAGGGGGCATATCCATCTGCTCAACAATCTTGCGGATCTGTGGCTCAAAGCCCATATCGAGCATTCGATCAGCTTCATCAAGAGTTAAGTACTTTATCATTTGCAGTGACACTCTGGCTCTCTCCAGCAGATCCATCAAACGACCAGGAGTTGCCACAAGGATTTCTACACCCCTTTCCAGTTCCCTCAGCTACAATAACAGATCAGTACACATTTAACATCTAAGTTGTGCAAAAATTCTCATGCAAATATGCTATGGCCAGCACCATCCAATTAATTGCTGATAACTTAGAAGATGCATCTTTCAGAAAGATAACTTAGAAGATGCAACCACTTCTGAAATGAGTTCACTTATTTACAGCCAGTATAGTTTCTACACTAGCTTCTACGGAAGAAAGGCTATTACAACGATTTGTTAGTAATAAGAATGGGCTAAAACCCTGTGTTCTACCATATATAATTGACAACTTTATTCTAATACTAGATACTAGAGTTCTTAGATTTAGCAAAGCTGTTCCTACCCTAAGCCTCCTAATCCCATACAATTGCACACACACACAAAAAAAAGTGATAGCATGGAAGTTTTTTTCCCCTATCAGATGTGCTTCCTGGTCCTGAGAATCTTGTGGACACATAGCCATTAACTTCACTACAGAAAGTATGCACCACTAATTCCAGTGATATATAAAAAAAAAAAAAGGAAAAGGATCGCGGAAAGCACAACTAGGATTGTTTGGAAATTTTCCATTTCAGAGTGATGAATTAAAAACAGTGTCTATTAACACCGTGCATTGCTCTTTGGCTACTTCCTAAGAATTATAATTAATTGAAGCATCATTGCAGGCTAATCAGCATAACTATCACTATGTTTTATGCTATCAGACAAGACAAGAGAACTCGGCCCGTTCGGCTGGGGCTGGCTGGCTGGGCTGGCTGGCCAGCCCCCTCACATGGGCACTATTCACATGAACCAGCCAGCAGTACTTCTCTCACACATAAACGAACCAGCAACGATACGAACCAGCCAACCGAACAGGCTCGATATGCCAACAAATCAAACAAAGTCAGGGAGGCGAGACCCATCATGTAATTACCAATGTGAGCAAAACTTATATTTCAAAAAAAAAGCTAAACCTGCTGATGGATTGGTGCTCCACCATATGCAACAACCACCCTCACACCAGTTTGGTATGAAAACTTCCTTGCTTCTTCATGAATCTGAGGTTACATAAAATAAAGAATCAGAAATCAAATAAAAAGAAACATTAAGAAAAGAAACAAAAAGGATAATCTGAATGACAACATACTTGCATAGATAGCTCACGAGTAGGGGATAGTATCAGCGCCAGAGGGCAAGCAATCCTGGAACCTCGCCTCTGGGGTGGCCTTGAGTCCCTTGACTTCAAGATCCCACTAATGATAGGGAAACAGAAGGCTGCAGTCTTTCCAGACCCTGTCTGTGCACAAGCCATGAGGTCCCGACCTGCATTGGCGATAGGAATGGCATGTCGCTGTACCGGTGTTGGCTTCACATACTTGCACCGCCGTATGTTCTCATTCACTGCCTCACCCAAATCAATCTCTGCAAAGGTATTGACTGGTGGAGGGACGTCATGGCCACTTGTCTCAACAGGAATATCCTCATAGGCGTCAAAATTGATGCCTGTATTCTCCTGACTCTCGAAATCAACATCTGCAGCCTCGGTGTTGGCAAAAGGGTTTGGTTCACGGTCTCTACGGTCCCACCCAGGTCGGGAGTTCCAACCGCCGCCTTGACCGCCACCACCCTGGCGAGGACCAACTATGGCGCTACCACCGCCACCGCCACCGCCACCACCACCAACAGTAGGGCCTGCCCAACGAGAGCCGCCACCAACAACAGCTGCGTAACCAGAAGGCTGCACTGCAGCAGGCCTTACGTCAGCTGGTGCAGGAGCCGCAGCAGGGACTGCTTTGTTCTCAGGGAGAGGACCACCAGAGCGGCCACGAAGGTGGGGAGGAACGTACGCGCTGAGGGTGGGGCGCGAGTTCTGATGATTAACAGTAGGGGCAGTAGCAGTAACAGTAGCGGGCGCCGATTCCTCGGCGTTCGCAACTGAATCAGCCCATGAAGATCGCATAATTTTGCAAAATGTCTTTGATGAAGTCGCTACCAGTGATCACTAAAACCTGGAAATAACATAAATAAAACAAAACAGTCAGTACATAAAGGGATAACGTAGAGCATGGCAAACACTTCACAGAAAAAAAAAACAGAGGATCTCAACCAAATGGCTACTTTTTCCTTGATAAAAAAAATAAAAACAAATAATAACAGGGTTGGATCCAGTAGAGGGACATGGGTGTACATACACATGTACACCCAATAATTTTTGCGAAAACTTCGAAGCTAGGAAGCTTGTCGAATAGCTAAACAGCTTTAGGTTAGGGTTTCGGTGCACAGCTTCGCACAGCATAAAGGGCAGGGAAGAGAACGAGTGGGAGTACCTGGTGGGTGCTTGTCGCCGGCGAAGTGACCAACAAAAACCTCAGCACCTGGCTTAGGGCGGCGGCGGCGGCGGCGGCGGCTGTCCACCAGTCGTCGGAGAGCGAGAGGGGGCGAGAGAGAGAGAACGAACGAGGAGGGATGCAGAATATCCCGACGGAAGGGGGACTGCAGCTTATGCAGCGACGGCGTAAAAAAAGAGCGCACCCGCACGGGCCTTACTCTGGGCCGTTTTTTTTTTCGAAATTTCTGTTTTCTTCATTTTTCTTTTGCAAACTTTGAGTGAGAGCCCTCGAATCGGATTCGGCACTGCCACGTGTCCGGACATCCACACGGATGCGTGCATCCGGAGTCGCGTGCAGCCTGTGTCCTTGTCCGCTAATTTTTCTTTGCCCCGCACGCGCATCCTGCACCGTAGCAGCGTCCTTCGCGTCCGGATGACTCGCCTCGCACACGTAGTATGCCCTGTCCGTCTCGATTCGAGGTCGTTCGCCCCGCCTCGTATGCGTACCCAGCCTCCGTCGCGCCCTACAGGATACCGGCACGCTGCACGCCGCGCGCCCCGTCCGCCATCCCCAGCCTGCCGCGCCCCATTATCCGTCATGCATGCCGTGCCACCATCACTCCCCACGCCCCATGACTCTTCGAACAATATAAAACACGTGCAACATAAAACACTTGAATGCGTAATACGTATGAAATAAATAAAATATTTAGAACATAAACTGAAACATATGTGTGAAACATATGCAACACCAAGATTAAACGCTTGCAACATAAAAACACTCACTACAACATAAGACTAAAAACGCTGAAATATTTGGAACATATTGTTCCAACATATGTGTGAAAAATATGCAGCATCTAGATCAGAACGCTTGTAACATACAGATAAAACATTTTGAATAAAACCTTGAAACACTTGCAACATATGCAACATCCCCGATTTACTTTTGCAACATCCATATAAAACAATTGCAACGCATGTCTCTAAAACGTCTGAAACACTTGAAACATATGCTTGCAACATGCGCTTTCATCGCAATATCTTCTTGTCGCCGTCGTTCATCGCGGCGGCCACGGTGTCGACAATGGCCATGACCTTTTGGTGGGGAACAGCGGCGTCAGCGATACCTCGGCAGCACCTCGGCGCGTGTGGGGGATGGGGCGCGGCGCGGTGACGGAGGGGGTGCGACGCAGGATGAGGCACAATGTGGGATATTGCGCAACGTTGGATGGGAGAGCCACGTGGCGCGGGATGGGGTGCACGGTGGGGAAGACGGCAGCAGCGAGCGCACGACGCAGAAGCACACTGAAAGGTCATAATGGCTAGAGGGGGTGGATGAATAGCCTAATAAAAATTTCTACAACAACACTTAGCAAACGGGTTAGACAATCATGAGACAAAGTAAGTGTTGCGCTAGCCTACTAAAATTGCAAGCCACCTACCACAATTCTAAGTTATATAGTTTCTATCCGCACAATAGCTATGCCACTACACTATGTTAGTGTAAGGTTCTAATATGGCTAGAGCGGGGTGAATAGCCTATTTAAAAACTACAAGTCAACTAGAGCAATTTAATTAGTAAGACAAATATCGAAATGCAAACTTGCTCTAGCTCTAAAGGGTTGCAAGCCACCTGTCCAACAATTCTAGTTGCAATGATCAATTGGCACACAATCTACTTGACTACTACTCACTAAGAGCTCTCACAAATGCTACACTAAAGAGCTCCACTAGATATGTTTAAAGCATAAGGCAAGCTCTCAATTCTAGTTACACTAAAGAGCTTGCTATATTTAGTTTGTAGAAATGTAAATGAGTAAATGATACGATTATATCGTCGGGTCGTGGAGTGAACCAATCACAAGATGAAGATTAAGCCAATCACCGGGAGAATGCAAATGACAAGAGACAGCCGATTTTTCTCCCGAGGTTCACGTGCTTTGCCAAAGACGCTAATCCCCCAAGTGTCGACCAACACTTGGTGGTTCGGCTGCTAAGAGGTGTTTCACAAACCTCGTCCACACGATAGGACACCGCAAGAACCGACCCACAAGTGAGGTAACTCAATGACACGAGCAATTTACTAGAGTTACCTTTTCTAAGACTCACCGGGAAGGTACAACTCCCCACAATCATCACGGCGGCCACGAACAATCACCAACTCGCGTGCGATCCTTCACCGCTGCTCCAACCGTCTTCTAGGTGGTGCCAACCACCAAGAGAAACAAGCGAAATCCATCAATACAACAACACGAATACCAAGTGCCTCTAGATGCAATCACTCAAGCAATGCACTTGGATTCTCTCCCAATCTCACAATGATGATGGATCAATGATGGAAATGAGTGGGAGGGCTTTGGCTAAGCTCACAAGGTTGCTATATCAATGAAAATGTGCCAGAAAATGCCCTTGAGCCGGCCATGGGGCTATAAATAGCGCCCCAATCAAATAGAGCCGTTATACCCTTCACTTGGGCAAAAGCGCTCGACCGGGACGCTTCCTTCCGGTCAAACCGACGGATCTTGGCCCTCGGCGTCCGGTCGTCTAATGGACGCCATACGCCATCACCAAACTTCAAACGCCGTTTGTTAGATTTCAACGGCTACTGAAGCGGCATCGACGCTTCGAAAAGCGACCGGACGCTAAAGCCCCAGCGTCCGGCTGCGTCAAATAAAGCTCCCGAGACGTATTTCTTCGATCGAAGCGTCCGGTCCACCTTGACGACATTACCAGAGACCGGCGTCCGGTGCTCAACCTTAGCCATCAGGTTGCTCGGCGGCAAGATGACCGGACGCAATTTCGTTCAACATTTGATGACCGAGCGATCAGTCATCCCGGCGAGAGACCGACGCCAAAGATCATTTCGACCAACTCCATTTCAACTCTAACTTCTTCACCTTTGCTCAAATGTGCCCACCACCAAGAATTTGCATCCGGCGCAATAGAAAAATAGGGCACCTCCTTTGTAAATGTGCCAACACCACCAAGTGTATCACCTTGTGCATAAGTGTTAGCATATTTTCACAAATATTTTTAAAGGTGTTAGCACCCCACTAGATCATAAATGCATATGCAATGAGTTAGAGCATCTAGTGGCACTTTGATAACCGCACTCCAATACGAGTTTCATCCCTCTTAATAGTACGGCTATCAATCCTAAATATGATCACACTCTCTAAGTGTCTTGATCACCAAAACAAAATAGCTCCTATGGTTTATATCTTTGCCTTGAGCTTTTTATTTTTCTCTTTCTTCTTTCCAAGTCCAAGCACTTGATAATCATCATGGCATCATCATCATCATGCTATGATCTTCATTTGCTTCATCACTTGGAGTGTGCTACCTATCTTATGATCACTTGATAAACTAGGTTAGCACTTAGGGTTTCATCAATTCACCAAAACCAAACTAGAGCTTTCAGTTAGTGTGCTCTCAAAAGCTAACTAAAGAGCCACACTAACCAAACCAACAATCTCTTACAACTAGCTACACTAAAGAGCTTGACAACTAGTTTGCGGTAATATAGAGAGAATAAGCAAGATGGTTATACCGCCGTGTAGAGGAGTGAATCAATCACAAGGATGAATACCAATGAAGACCAATCACCTCGAAATCAAATGATGAACACAATGATTTTTTACCAAGGTTCACTTGCTTGCCGGTAAGCTAGTCCTCGTTGTGGCGATTCACTCACTTGGAGGTTCACGAGCTAATTGGCATCACATGCCAAACCCTCAATAGGGTGCCTACACAAGCCACGAGCAATCCACTAGAGTACCTTTTGGCTCTCCGCCGAGAAAAAGTCAAGAACCCCTCACAATCACCACGATCGGAGCCGAGACAATCACTAACCTCCGCTCGACGATCCTCGCTGCTCTAAGCCATCTAGGTGGCAGCAACCACCAAAAGTAACGAGTGAATCCCGCAGCGAAACACGAACACCAAGTGCCTCTAGATGCAAACACTCAAGCAATACACTTGGATTCTCTCCCAATCTCACAAAGATGATGAATCAATGATGGAGATGAGTGGGAGGCTTTGGCTAAGCTCATGAGGTTGCTATGTCAATGCAAATGGCCAAGAGAGTAAGCTTTGAGCCAGCCATGGGGCTTAAATAGAAGCCCCCACGAAATAGAGCCATTTGACTCCTCACTGCACAGAACACGGGCCGACCAGACGCACCGGTCAGATCGACCGGACGCTGGACCTCAGCGTCCGGTCACGCGATGCACGCCACGTGTCCCTCTCTTCAAATGTTGTGCGCCCGATCTCAACGATCAGAAGACGATCGGACGCAGTTAGTTTGAATGATGGACCGGACGCTGAACCCCAGCCCCGTCCGGTCGCTTCCAAAGAAGCTTCCATAAATGATTTTTCCCCAACCGACGCTGCGTCCGTCATGCTTGACCGGACCACGCCGGCCAATACGTCCGGTCACACGGTGTTTCCTCTGTCTTTGCCACGTCGGCATGACCAGACGCAGACCTTCCAGCGTCGGTCATTGACGGCGCCAGCGTCCGGTCGTTTGATCGACGCCAATACGTCGGTCGTTTGATCGACGCCAGCCTTCAGCCATTGCTATAATCGACGGGACGCTACTGGTCCCTCTGAGACCAGCGTCTAGTCACTTTGTGACCAGTGAGACCAACTCTTTTCACCTCTATCTTCTTCACCCTTGCTCAAATGTGCCAACCACCAAGTGTATCACCTTGTGCATATGTATTAGTATATTTTCACAAACATTTTTAAGGGTGTTAGCACTCCACTAGATCCTAAATGCATATGCAATGAGTTAGATCATCTAGTGGCACTTTGATAACCGCATTTCGATATGAGTTTCACCCCTCTTAATAGTACGGCTATCAAACCTAAATGTGATCACACTCTCTAAGTGTTTTGATCACCAAAACAAAATAGCTCCTATAATTTATACCTTTGCCTTGAGCCTTTTGTTTTTCTCTTTCTTCTTTTCAAGTTCAAACACTTTATCATCACCATGGCATCACCATCATTATGTCATGATCTTCATTTGCTTCACCACTTGGAATATACTACCTATCTCATGATCACTTGATAAACTAGGTTAGCACTTAGGGTTTCATCAATTTACCAAAATCAAACTAGAGCTTTCACACGCGATGGGCGAGCACGGGAATGGGAGATATTTTGAGAGAGATGGGGAGAAGCGAAGAGAAAGCAGGCCTGTTGGCCCGATAGTGCGTAGGCCCGGAAAGCGCATCGGAACGGACGGACGCCCGCTCCTGAGCATTATCGAATTGGATTTTGATCGCCGAAATAACATCCCTATTTTGTACATTTGCCTTCACACGATTTTGTTTTCCTCTTCTCTTCCAAGTGAGAGCTTGCTCGAATTGTATTTATTGCCTTTCATCCATCTCCGAGCCTTGCTCTCCATCTTGGTTTGGAACTAACCTAGCTTAATTACACACTTAGCAAAAGGTTAGTTCACTAGTTGTCTCAATTACCATAACCAACACATAGGGCTTTCACATGTGCACAGTGCTCGATCACAGTTGTCTAGTGAGCTCCCATACCCATCGATTTTTTAGTGGGGTCAGTAGAGCATGATTGGAGGATTGTAGCCAATCAAAAACCTTTTGTATAGTGCTTATCTAGAAGCACCACCAGAGTTTGATAGGTGCATTTTCAGTTGAGTGGAGTTATAACTACTAGTTTTTAGGGTGAGCCCTATATACCCCCTCTGTCTCGTGTTATTTGGCTCTCTCGCCATTTAGGAGTTCTAGCTACAACATTTGGTATCCAAGAGAATGCTTTGACCTATTGGAGTGACTCAGATTTGCTTACTGAAGATTAAGGGCTCCATTGATACTTAGGGAGTAGCAAGCGTGCATTCAATTTTCTCATTAGGCTTGCTTAGGTCAAGCGAGAGTTTGTGCCTGCTGCTCTTGTTGATCGGTATCATCTATATGTCTTAGTGGTGTTGAGGAGCTTGAAGATCTCTCGGTGGCGATTGTAAGAGGCTGTCACTGGTGTACACAACAATTGGTGATCTGCCGTTTCGGAGTGGAGAAGGATCAACCACTAGAGAGCACTTGGTCTTGCGCAGATCAAGGGGAATAATACCCTTACAGGGGTGCTCCAACAGAGACTAGTAGAGAGTGACGACTCTCCAATACCTCATGAAAACAGACATTGCTTTATCCCTTCCATTTACATCATGCATATACTTTATTGCAATTTACATTTCTAGAATTCGAAGCTAGTGTAGGGGCCGGAACTAGGGTGTATAACTTTTGTACAGTAGATGTAAACATTATTCTTAGGTACATAGGTGAAGCAGGCTAATCGATATGTTTAATTTCCGTGATAATTTTAGACCGGCCTAATTAATTACACACTTGGATATATTGATCATTTCAGAGATAAAGGTAGAAAATGGGACATGATGGGACTGGATTGGATTGGCCCAATTCCTTACCCACTTGGATATATTTACACATTTTCATCGATAAGAAATTTGGGGGGGTGCATGGGTGATAGAGCAACAACAAATTCAGCATAGCACGGGAGTTGGATAAATTAAGCATGTGAGGCAGGACCAAAGAAACATGAGGAAGAATGTTAGTGTTTCATCTACCAACTAGATTTGCGTCACACACTAGTACGTATGGCTTAGCTTTCGACGACTCAGGGGGTTTATACTAGTCCAGGCAACGAACCCCACATCTAGTGGCGGTTCAATTGTGTTTACTGAGCATAAAGGCTCAAAGTTTGCAACAAGAGTTACAATACAGAGGTGAAAATGTGTGTGTGTGAGTGTGCTGAGATCATAACTAAGTAGGAGGCCCCTGACTCACATTACATAGATGGGAGGCAGAGGTTACAAAGGTGTTGAGATCCATACGTAAGTCAGAGAGGGTGGTGTAGTTGCTTCCTTATTAAGGTTGGGTTTGGTCTAACTTGTGTAAATTGCTTATGCTGCTAAAAAATATAACACAATCCAAACAGAGAACTAGAAGCTTCCTTTCAAAAGGAGCCATTTACGTATAGTATAATTTTTGGAACACCTTAAACCCTGCTTTCACCTTTTAGTTTTTAGCTTTTCCAAATGAGTGAAAGTAGAGGGTCTGATTGGTTACTCGCACAAGAGTTGCACTGCATAAAGGGTTGTGCAGGATAGGCTATGCCTGCATAAGTAAATGCAATTTGGTATTGTTTGGTTGGGCCATTATTATCCTGTTGTATTGCATGTGCCTTTGTTTGGTTTGCTACATTAGGTAAAGTCTGTGTTTGGTTATTTGTACCAAGTGAGATAAACAGACCGAACATTTCATCGAACACCCTAAGTGCGTCCCCTCCGCTCCCTATTCCCGCTTCTCTCGGCACCTCTGCTTCTTGATGGGCACAACGCCTAGTGCTAGTGCTTCTCCCAGCGCCGGACCGCTCCCAGCCTAGCATCAACAATGCACTTCGTGCTAGTGCTGCTCCCAGCGGCGACAAAAATCACGACGTGCACCGTCAGCCGGGGGACACCTGCCCGTGCTGCCTCGCCGAGATGCACACGAGGGGGCGGTGGGCATGGGGGTGGGTACAGGAGCTGCAGGAGCTTTGCAAAGCGGGGCGCAAGGCCTTTGCACAACAGGCACAAGAGCTGCATAGCGGGTGCAAGCCAAATCCTACATAGGTGGAGACGGAGAGTGCTACGCTGCATAAGGAGTTGTGCAAATAACCAAACATGAATAACTTGTATTATGGGAGCCTGGATAATGGGCCTGTTCAACTCGTATTAAAGTCAAGCTTGATTTGTTGTGAGAGAAAAATATTGTAGATTCTAGCTGATAAACCCCCTGATAAGTTCAAGCGAACATACCCCACCTAACAAACAGACTCAGAGAGAGACGTTTACCCATTGTTTTAATTTAAATAAAGAAAGAGATATGTCACATAGCCTTTTAAACCAAATAACATATAATTTTTTTGCACCATATAACTCACTTTAGCTTTTCCACGACAAACAACCTTTTCAAATCTTACAGCTAAACTGATCAGACCATAAAATAAATAAACATTATTTTAGTGTTTTTTTATTACAAAACTGACGTGTGATTAGTTTTTTCTTTTCAAGCTGAGACATGTAATTGGCCATTTTTTTTTGCCCGGACTTCTAGTGTATAAGTTATAATATCCATATTCTATACAGCACATCAAAATTATTTATTGAAAATAAATCCCAGAAAAAATCACTCAGCCGAGCAAGGCTCGAACACAGGACCGGTGGCTTCCACACCGGGAGAGCTCACCATCCGAGCGGCAGCTCGGTCCCATTCTTCTTCCAACTACGACCAGTTCGGCACCACGGCGAGCATTCCGTCCGACCGTCCGCTTGCTCCCTCGGTCCCTCCTCAGAGCTAGCCTCCAAACTCGCAATTATATAACAACCGTCCCTTGCAACTTTCAAGACCTTTCGCCCCCCTCTCGTTCTCTCCTCCCTCCTCCTCCTGCCCCCCTCTCACGAGCGCGCGCGCCCGCCCAGATCTAGGGTTCCATCCGCGGCAAGATGAGCAGCCCCCATGGCGGCCTCGACGACCAGATCGAGCGGCTCATGCAGTGCAAGCCGCTCGCTGAGCCCGAGGTAACGCCTTCTCCGTCGCTCTCCTCTCAGTTCTAGGTGCTTTTTCACCAGATCTGGCGGAATTGCGGGGCCGGGGGACGGGTCCCGGGGGAGATCGGGTCTCCGGACGCGTTCCGATGCTGGTTGGCGCGGAAATGGCTGGCGGGGGCGTTTGATTTGCTCTGGCGGGCGCTGGGCCTGGGCGGTTGCCAGCTGGGGATGTGGTTGTGAGCTAAGCGGGACGCTACTTTTTTTTTGAAGCTGAAGAAAAAAAAAAGTTTTTTTAGCCCCCCTCTGGCGTTTCTGACGTTGAATTAATTTCTCTGCTTCAACTGAAAACAATTATGTCTTCTCATTTCACCACGATCTTTGGTGGCCACATAACGTTTTCTCCCTCGATTTTATGCTAAAAGGATAATGCTAGGGGGCCTAGAACTGCTCCAAGATGTAAACATCCCACCTTGTGATTAATGGATCTGTAGAATTAATATCCACAATCGATTTGCTCTGCTGGGATGGGAGGTTCTGATCCAGTGCAATTTATGTTTCAGGTCAGAGCTCTGTGTGAGAAGGCAAAGGAGATTCTCATGGAGGAAAGCAATGTTCAGGTTCGCTGTTTTGATTGCTTTGGCTTAAGTTATCAGCAATTTCATTGTGTGACCAATTGATATATTATCTTGTTTGGAACAGCTTAACTTTTCTTCATATCTAGCTTAATTTTTGACCCGGCCCAATTAGCAATAAAAAAATGGTTTAAGTTCCCAGCTCACACTCTATGCCACCTTGCACAATCTGAATTTGTGTTTTGCTAACTAAATGCATAAATTTGTGACACCTTGTACCACGTCTTCATTCCTGATGTTATGACACCTTATATTGCGTCTTCATTCCTGATGAAAGATTCCTGAACCCACCTTTTTTAAGCTTTTTATAAAAAATGTCATAGTGGTGGGAAAGAAACACCTTCTGAACCTTCTGAACTGTATAGCTTTAACCAACATTTGAACACCAGGAGATAAGATGGATGCTTTCAGATAATCTATGCTGTTTGGTCATGTTATTTGACTTTGGACGATTGGTTTTGTCACCATTGTCGCAGCCTGTAAAGAGTCCTGTTACTATATGCGGTGATATCCATGGACAATTTCATGATCTTGCTGAACTCTTCCGAATTGGTGGAAAGGTACCTCACTATTTTCTGTTCATCTGCTTCTGTCACTTCTCCGATTTAATAAAGAAACATGTTAAAATTTCAGTATCTTGAAACTTTCACTTTTACCAGTGTCCAGATACGAACTACCTGTTTATGGGAGATTATGTTGACCGTGGTTACTACTCTGTCGAAACTGTCACAGTAAGTGTAAACTCACATGTCTTTATGTTAGCACCATCAGCATATTCATCTACCCATAGTGATCATGAGCAGTATGCCAGTATAGGTGTGTAGTGTGCACTCTACTGAAAAGCTGATCATATCTGCCTTTTGTTGTTCCTACTTCAAATCTCTAAATTGCAGAACTTTACTAATTCTTGGCACTAATTTTATTCACTGCAAACAAACAGCTTTTGGTGGCTTTAAAAGTTCGATATCCTCAGAGGATCACCATTCTCAGAGGAAACCATGAAAGCCGACAGGTATACAATTTCTTGTTTCACAAATTGTTCATGTTTTCTTGCTGCATCACTCCATTCTCTGTTATCAGCTGTACAAATTAAAGTTTTTAGTGAAATTATTTGCAGATTACTCAAGTTTATGGGTTCTATGACGAATGCTTAAGGAAGTGAGTGTCTTCTCTTAGGTTACTGTACATACTGTGTTTTTTTTAAATTCTGATATCACTAAGCAGGACTTTGGAAGTACTAGTAAAGGGCTTAATGATTGCTTCACTGTCAAATCACTATGTTTTGTCCTTGAAAACTAGTGCATTCTGGAAAATTGTTGGTTAGAATAGAACACACCTAAGGATAATATTTCTGCTGGGCCCAGCTAGTATTTAAAGACATCCATATCCTACATTGCATGCCTGCAACTTATGTCTGAAGATGTATGAGGTTATTCAAAGTTTTATCTCGTGACAAATGCTGTGAGAAATGCTACATTTGTCAGGACTGCTATATTGTGATGATGATCCACAGTATCGATGAATTGCAAGGAGAACTTTTTAAGCAAAAATCTATTCTTCCAGTTACCATGTAAAGCTATTTCATGATTCTTACTGCGCATGGTCTATTTTGTGTGGTAGTTTATGGAACTTATTTTTGTTCTATGCTTGTCCTATGTCCAAACAAAATTGACCATACCACCCTCTTTTTGTGAAATGTATAAGTTTACAAGATATGTCCTGTGATCATTTTGTAGGTATGGAAACGCAAATGTCTGGAAAACCTTTACAGATCTATTTGATTACTTCCCCTTGACTGCATTGGTGAGTATTATCTCTTATTTAGGATGATTTGCATGTGTATCTAGTGAAAGTTCCATTCAGTTTGTTTGTTCTTTTCATAGGTCGAGTCAGAAATATTTTGCTTGCATGGTGGATTATCGCCATCCATTGAGACCCTCGACAACATCCGCAACTTCGATCGCGTCCAGGAAGTTCCTCATGAAGGTCCAATGTGTGATCTTCTGTGGTCTGATCCAGACGATCGATGTGGTTGGGGTATTTCTCCACGTGGTGCTGGGTATACCTTCGGACAGGTACATAAACTATTTTGTTCGACGCAAATTTTAGTGGTGTGGACAATGTATCACCGTTTGTATTGACACCAAATATTGTTGTTCCAGGATATATCAGAGCAGTTCAACCATACCAATAGCCTAAGGCTAATTGCTAGAGCTCACCAATTGGTTATGGAGGGATTCAATTGGGCTCATGTAAGTGTTTCTTCTGGAAGCATACAGCTTTTTTGAGTCCTCATGCCCTATTTGATAAATACCTTTATTCGTTAAACAGGAGCAAAAAGTCGTGACTATATTTAGTGCACCTAACTATTGCTACCGCTGTGGGAACATGGCATCAATCCTAGAAGTGGATGATTGCAGGGAGCATACTTTCATCCAGGTAATATTCTTGGCTATATCAGCTTGTTTGTGTGAGCAGGCTTTGTGATAATTTATAACTCAAGTGATCTTTTTATCCAATTACATGAGCAATTGTCTAAAAGAAAAGAAAATGTTACCCTCACTTCAAGCGGGACAAAATAATTGAATTGATGAGATTGAATCGCATTGAGAAGATAGTTCAGAGGACGCCTGAAAACAGTACCAGGAAATCAAGTTCAAACTCTAAATTTGTTCACGTATAAATGATACTTTATTTCGACTGGTTTATACTTGCTTAGTACAAATATAGTACATATAAGCTTTGGTTTCACGACGCGTTCGGCTGGTAGGTGGAACAGTAGATTTTGGATTATTTAGGATGATTCAATAGTGTTCTGTGAGAGAGAATAAGCTGAAACAAGCTGAAACAAGCAGGAACTGGTACAGCCGAACGCGGTCTCAGTATTTTTTGTTATGAATTCTAGCCAAAATTCTGGATTTACTGTTTTTACACTTTATATAAAATATTATCATCTTTTCATGTTCTGTTGATCTCCAGTCCTTGAGATTTGTCCTTTGACAGTTTTTCTGCTATCTTGCTTCATGGTTACTGTGGTGGCATCTTATGGGTTCTGGTGTGTGATTCTGCAGTTTGAGCCAGCCCCAAGAAGGGGAGAGCCAGATGTAACTCGTAGGACACCTGACTATTTCCTGTGATGCAAAAGTGATGTGGATCTGCAGCAAAGGTTTGATAGATAGGTGCAGTTTCCTGGTTGCAGATAATTATTTTTTGCTGGAATCCCTCCGTGTGCTATTCTTATTATTTTTGCCCATGGCGCTTTGGCTGTCGCGGGCTGCTTTGCCGCATCATGATTCAAGTGTATACCTACTACAGCTGGAAGGACTGGATTGTGTTCTCACTTATCTCTAACTGGTTGATGCTTTTGGCTTGGTGGGGGCTGCACGCTGCAGTGGTGGGGTTCAAGCATCAAGCAGCAATCTGTATTATGGGAGGAAACTTTTCCCTATGTATTCATTTTGTTCCCCATTCTTCCTCACCTGATTTTCTTCTCTCTCTCTTTTTCTTTTTGTGATTCTTGTAGAGGTGAACACTTGTATGGTTCTATGTTGGGCCATTAGTTTTTTCTGACTACCTTGATTTGCCGTATAGAATTACTTTTTAAGGGCAACTAGTCAACCTGTAGCATTCTTTGCCACCAGCATTTGAATTTGAGCCCTGGTTTCCACATTTCATTCTGCTTTGAACAAAAGATGAGGCGACGGACATGGTACCTAGTACTGTGATCTGTACCACACCGCAGTTTCCGTTTGAAATTCTGCCCTGTATCCTGGGCCGTTGTGCTCGCTCACTGATTTCCAAACATCACACATCCAACACGGGTCTGATGTACTTTGCTAATCGAAAAGGATCTGTTGTGGGACACTAACGGTACGTGGTCCTGCACTCCTGCGCTTCTTTTTGACCTGGAAGTTCTACTGGAATATTTTGACAGCATCCGCTACACAAAAATCGTGTCTGCTTCTGTGGTGCTTATGCCGCCTGGAGGCCTTGTTGCCCAGCTGAGGCTGGCGTCGACGTCGATACGACCTGTGGTGTCTACCAGTATTTATTTTGTCTTGTTGAAAAAGGCAGGATCCCAGCTTATGTGAGGCCGTGGCTGGTGCCTTCTGCCGCCTGCCTACAGAACGTGCCAGGTGCCATGTCGTTTGGGGCAAGCGGGCAACAGCTGCCCGTGACAACAGGCCTGGTTTCGTTGGGCGCTCAGCTATTCTCCCGTGTCGCTCTCGCCACCAGCTGATGCTGGCGCAGACGCACAGCGCGCTGCCGGACGGAGCCGGGCTTCAGCGTCAAAAAGCGATGGTCACGAATGCATCGCCACACGTCACTTCATCCGCCTTTGCACGTCGGAGATGCTTCCATTCTCTTCCTTCATTTTCTCATGCCGAATACCATCATGACAACGTATTCTGCACAAGAGCGTCCGCATCCATGGTCTACCCAACATTAGTATTAGGACACAAGGCAAGAAAAGGCATTTCTTTGATGTCAAGAATCAGAGAATCCAGTGGAAGTTAGACGTGGCGCCGTAGTGTCCACTTCTGTCATGGAACCGAACAATAATGATAGTCTCATAGCTACACATCAATACTACTAATCCCTACTTACTGGACACCTCTACAGAAACAACACACCCCTGCTGAAAACAGCTAGGCCCAGCCTGTTGCTTGCTCGTAAACGATCGTAAATTTTCAGCCGAGAACAGTGTTTTTCTCTCACATCAAACCAGCCAGCAGTAAATAATCCACGATACGATACGGTCTCCCGAACAGGCTGACATACATACAATACAAAAAAGAAAAGCCAGACCATCGGATTTACTCATTTACAACCTCATAAGATGATCCATGTCTTACGAGTAGGAGCGCCGCATTGGGAGCTCCAAAAAAAGAAATTTAAATTTTAAGTAGCTGGCTACAAGTTCAGATGGGCGAATATGGCCGGCACCAAGTCAACCACGGACCACGCGAGGCCGGAGTACTGGACGAACCTGATGCCTGTGTCCACGTCGTACGCCTTCTGGGGGAAGTGGGAGAACAGCCGCTGGAGGTACCCGGCGACCTGCTTGTTCTTGCTGCTGCTGTCGACTTTCAGGGCAGGGACGTAGCAAGACGACACAATGGGGATGCCCAGGGTGCTGCACATAACGGGCAGCAGCCACTTGGAGAGGGCTTTGCTGCAGAATTTCACGACCAGGATGGTTGGGATCCCAACGAGGACGCGACCGGCGAATGTGAGGAGGGGCAACTGAGCGCTGAAGATGAGGGGGGCATCAGGGGTGTGGAAGTGGAAGTAGGTTTGTTGGATGCCGTACACCTGAATCACGTTCGTCAGAAAGAAATGTCAGAAAAATCTCGGGTAGACCATATGATTCAGAACAGAGAATAGGATGTGCTGATACATGAAGAAACCAAAACACAGGCGAGAGGCCTAAAGTTTGTTTTTTGAATTGTAAACATAGAATACCAAGAAAGTGCACTAGCAAATCATCAGTACAAAACTAATTCTGTAATAACACAGAATTTACTTGGGGCAGTATGTTTAGTCAATGACCAACTTCATGCCTTCCATCATAAAATGGATACTAGAGAATATTATAATCAGATGGTTAAGCAAAGAGAACCAACGAGAATCCTGCCATTATTTTTTTTAATCGTAAACTAGCTTGATTTTCTAGTCTAAGGTTAGGACAGAAGAATGTATCAATAATATCTTCAGTCTGACCAGAATCAAGTATGGCGTGAGCAAGTTTTGATTAAGCAATGTTAGTCAGAAACAGAGCTCTTACAATTCCGAAAGCGACTCCGTTGAATGCTGCGTGGTAATCAAAGCTAGGAGTAGGGAATTCTGGCTTCGGATATGCAAAGCACATCAATAGAGAAAGGCCTGCCCAGAAGGTTGCAACTGCAAGTGCAAAGCGGGAAAGCTGTTAGGATACTTTTCAACTTTCAATGCCACACCTTACGTGCCTCCAAAATTTGCAGCACGCAAGCACTGAGGTGTATGGATGTACCATTTTTCCCAGAGACAATGAAGGCATCAACATGGTCATCGACAACCAACCAGAATGCAAGGATGACAATACCAAAACCAATTCCAGCAACAACATCGGTCAAGCTGTGCATACCCAAATATATCCTTGCTGCCAATTTAAGGTAAACCAAATCGTCAGTATATTTCAGTAACTCGAGAAAAAGCAGTTGCCTTAAGAACTCTTGACTCACCAATGGCAACTAGCGTAACAAGTAAGAAAGCTAGAGATAAACCCGCAGCAACTATAACACTGCCATGTTCTCCATATGTGAGGACATAATGTAATAAATATCTGCATTGATCAGAAGCAGCATTAGCCAACAATTCCTTTCAAACTTCCCCTATCGAAATAAGAGCAGGAACATACCCCATCAAACAAACAGTGTTGAGAGCATGCGATGATGGCAGCCCATATTCCATGGCATTTTCCTTCTCATCTTCTGTAGCTGTCACTCTTCTAACAGGAGGAGAGCATGGCCGAGGGGCTGACACCATATCCTGCATTCAGAATCATCAAGAGTGTCAGCGATTAAACTAAAGCCTATCCTTTCAATTGTATTATGAACAGATGACAAACCTTGACAGAGTTGCCGAGGTAATCACAGAAAGCCATGAGGAGGGTCATCTGCCTAGCCAGCTTGCCGTGTCCACTCTACAATATATATATTGTTTAAGAATTCAGAATCAAACAGAATTATTACAGAAAATAAAGAAAGCAAGGCAATCAAATCAATGGGCCACGAGACAGAAGACATACCCAGAAGAGGAGAGGGAGGAATCCCGTGTAGAAGGGCACGGAGACAACGCATGACAGCACAGAGAAGAAATTGTCCAACAACTTGTGCTCCAACAACCTCTGCACTGATTCAACACTTGAGAAACACCGAAGATACGGAAATCTAAAACTAAGATACCAGAGTTTTTACAAGACAACCTTGTTTACTGCCTAATTGCCAATCCGTTCAATTTAGAGTAAGAGAATGAACTGGAGCCAAGTTCATCTTAAATTAATCGACGAGTTAATTCTACCGGCCCTTGCTACAAAGTTGCAGATCCTATAGTAGACATAAAGGACGCGACGGCCAAGCAAAAAGGTAGCATCAAGCGTACAAATTCAACAATCCTAAAGAGAAGCAGAGTAATGCAGCTAATTTGTTCGTCGGAGAAATTAGAATTTAGAAATGAGTAGAAATTACGTGACCATAGAGGAGGAGAGATGACGCGGAGGGGAGCGGACCTGGAGCCTGAGGATGGCCGCCGTCTCGGCGTGCACCCGGCGCGTGACCCACGGCTGGACGAGCGCGCGCGTCCGGCGCGTGAGGTCGTAGAAGGAGGCCGCCCACACCCACCCGGCCACCGCCGCCAGCGCCGCCGCCTGCCACCTGGTCAGGCCCGCACCCGTGCCCGCGCCCAAACCCACGACCGCCGCCGCTTCCATGTCCAATTCCAAACGCCGCCGCCTGGCTCCTCTCGGTCCGGGGCACAGGGACAGGATCTCCGCGCCGCAGAGAGTGGAGGGGCTCGCTGGGACCGCAGCGCTGGCGGGCGGACTCTTGTAGCGGGGAGGCGCAGCCCGAGGCGGACGGGGTCGTCTGGATCGCGGGGGGAGGTGCCGAGGACGAGGAGGTGGTGGCGGCGTTGGCCCGTTTCGTTGTTGCCGGCCGCCTCCCGCTCTGGACCGCGGCTCTCGGTCTCGGTGGACTATTTTTTTAAAATGCCATGTGGCGCACTTTATTGATTTGTAAACATTGTTACATCATTTATCAGTTCTTTTCTTTCTTTCTTTCTTTTTGTTTCGTGGTAGTTTCGGTTTGCTTTATTTTTTTGGGGCGGACTGGGGATTTGACGCTGACTTTAGAAGGTTCTGATTGTTTCGTCTAATCAGCTTATAAAAAAATTTGTTTCGTTTATTAATCTTGACTAGACTAGAGTGGTGTTCCACACGTTTATTTTTTTTAAAAACACGCTTGTGTTTCGTTCAGCGTTGGAGTGCGAGATTTTCGTTTCCACAATTGGCAAGAATTAAACTGTTCCATGTGAATTTGTTGCACTTTAAAACTTGCATCTATATTACTGTATTTTCTTTTTTTTTTAAAGAAAGAGAGATGCTTTTTCAGGGGGGAAAAATGTATACACCCATCTACAAATGTAAGGCATTCTGGGTTTCGAAATTTGGCCATAAATGTAAGAACTTTTTTTTTGTCTAATTCATCTAAATAGGTTGGATTTAACATTATCATCTATGGTCCCAGTTACCTAAACAGGCATAATTCAATCACATCTTTGTACAATTTAGATGCTTGATTGAGAGGTTTATAAGTCCTTTTCCCTTTCTAATTCATCTTTAGTGTAGTGACGTTTAGTGACGTTTCAAGGACCAAACAAGGCAGGTCAGCACAACAGTGTAAAGGCTGCTGTCTTTACTTCCCATACCAATGCCAAGTGCCCAAGTGCCAACCATGAAACTTCCCAGCACAAGTTAGACTACTTTTCCTCTCTGTATGCAGTAAAAAATGAGGACGGACGGGTGCAGGTACGATACGAATATACTGCTATATACTCCGTATCTATGAGACTTGTGTGAGTGCCTCGGAACATTCTATTCTTTGTTTCTTCACCATATCGCTTGCAGTGTGGGTCCATGATGCAATAAGATAATAGCTATATTAGCTGGCAATCGGAGTGTCAGCACTCAGCAAGCACATTGGAATTGGATTTGCGTACGTTGAACAGATTCACTGGATTCAGCCAAATGGACTCGTCAGACTTTGAACTCTCGGCTTTAGCCAAATGGACTCGTCAGACTTTGAACTCTTGGCTTTGTTACTGATAATACTAGCGGAACAATTTGCCAAACCAGACAATTCGGCCGGTACATCAACATCATCATAGTCCATAGATTCATACGTTTTCAGTTTCACATATATATTCATATAGTGCACCGTTGCATATGTAAAGCGTGGTTGTCCTGGCTGTTATGTACATATATATATATATATATAATATAAAAAAAAAAAAAGAAAAAGAAAATAGTGTGCATCATCTCTTTATATCAAAACAGTTTTGTTTGGCCGATGCTCAGCCTGGCCATGTCGCTCCAAAAATCTCATGGCCGTCAGATCTTCGGTTCAACGTCCCAAATCGCTTGGAGTGGATTCTTCCGGGAGCGGCTTCCCGGTCTATTCCTTCACTTTCCGGATTCCCTTCTGCTTCTCTTTTGCTTCAACAGCTTCTCGTCCGAATCCGATCAGACATATATATACACAGCTTCTGCTTCTCCTTGCTGAAACTTCTGCTTCCCGACCTTTCTCTTCTTCGTTCGATCTCTCGCTCTCTCCCCGACGCGGGCAGCAGCGACGGTGCCCTTCTCATGCACGACGCGTGCGCCCCCACGGCCGCCGTTCCTGGCCACGGAGCGGCGCGATCGGCCCGACACGGTGGCCGCCGGCGTGGCTTCCCCTCCGCGCTGCCTCCTCCCGCTGATCTGCTTGGGCTTGACGAAACCCTAGCTGCCTCTTCTTCGCCGGCTGCGCCGACGGTTCCGCTCAGCGGCAGAATCTAGTGGTACGTCACCCTTTTCTTCTCTTCCCTCGTCTCATGGCTCCTACCCCAGATCCCCTCTCCCTCGCAGAACCGGCGCGGGCGGGGCGGCGGCACACTGGCCGTGCCCCGCCCCCGGCACGGCTGCGCACTGGTGCGGCATTCGCCGCAGATGCGGCCAGCCCCCCGCGCTACAGGTGGTTCCTCTGCTCTACGCGTACACGGTGGCGCCCCCTCTGCTCCGTTCGCTTCTTGCCATCTCCCAGGTGAAGCACGACCATCCCTCTCCTGTCTGTTGCTCCTATTGCGGTTTCCTCTGTGTTCCTCTTCTGATTTGTGCTGCAGGTTGACGGATTCATTTCATTTGTACAAGCAAAGCCAGGTGCTTACTCTTAATTTCCATTCCTATCTATCCATCTATTACTCACTACTACACATATCAGCATATCTATTTGTTTCCATGCATTGGGAACACCTGTGTAACTTTGATTCGCAGAGCTGCTCTTCGTTTTCATGGCAGTACACGTTATTTCCCTGCTAATCCCCATCCCCATCTCCATATTGTTCAGCATATCAGTAGATCTATGAGTGGGTAGCGCTAAATCCCCTTTATGTCCTTTGCCGCTTGAGTTACTTATTTAATTAATGCACTTGGCAAAACTCATCTTCGCATCCAGGGATGACATAATTCTGTTTTTAATTAATCATGGATATGCAAGTTCCTTTCAGTTATCATTCTATCCCATGCGTTTTACACCTTCACAGTGTTAGTTTGGTTGCGCTGCAGTTGCCATAGCAATGAGCCATAAAGTTTTGCATCACATTTTCCCCCTTCAATGTGTAGGTTTCGATGGGCATGGTTATAAAATAGTTGCATTTGTTCTGATGTAGATGGTTGTCGGCTTTTTGAAACAAAAAAAGGTAAGCTTAGTTTCTAGGCCATCTTCCCATAATTATGGAGTTACAATCTATTTCTCTTAGTGACATACTTCTTATATTAACATCTGGAGTGCAATATAGACATGTATCTACGTGTACTCTAAATTATACCACCTCTAGAATACAAACTTTTGAGTGCTATATACATTTACAATGTTATCCAGCAATTTCCATGTAGAGTTTATTCCAATTTAGTTAGGACTGTAAAAGATATCGGCATAGTTGAACCTTGCATATGATATCTATCTTACATTCTGGATTGTAAAATAGATATGGAGGAGTACTTGGCGCATGAAGACTGTGCCACGCAAATGAAATACTCCTCCTTCCTGCCTCAAAATCACAAGGAAATCACTATAAATTCTAGAAGCTGGCACAACATATCGCGCTATTTGGATGATTTCAGGACCTACTATTGGCTATCAAAAGTTTGTGCAGGTTGAGAGCTTCTAAATGGTCACTGAGTTTCTATATCTACAACTTGATTACAAAAATATAGCTAAAAGACGATATTCAACAGGCTATTAAAGGTCTTGTCTGCAAATGTGCATTTCTTTGTACAGTAGAAGAGTATACCTGCTAGTAATACTTTATTGCAGGAAAGATTGGGCGTTATGAATTTGTGACGATGTAAGGGATGCAAATGCCATTTTTTTTTTACATAGGAGTACATTGCAGGACTAGAGGTCTAGAGAAGAAATTGCCCGCGTACCTTCATTCAAACACAATAATTCCATTCAGACAAATTCTTAGCATCTTTAAGAGTCACAGTATAAGCAGGGACCAAGATTTTCTTTAACCTCTTATTATCAAAAGAGTAATTGCAGGATAAGTACGGGAAGTAAATAAGTAAATAAGAATGCATTTTTCCTTTTTTCAAGAGAAGCAAAAACTCTTTTAACAACATCACACTATGTGTTTGAACACAACTAGTTAGTGGAGAAAAATACTGATCAAAACATTGCATACCAATTATGGGAATCTCTATGAACATTACGAGGTTGTTGTCATTGGTTGGCTAGCTGCCTGGCCCACCCAACGCTACCTAGAGCCAGGATGGTTGCCTGGCTGACAAGCCGCCCGTCAGGGCTCAGTACAAACAAGGCCTACAGGCTTACAGTTGTTTAATAGTCCCTTAAACCTAGATCTTCCAAGACAATGAATTTATCAACCTGGCTTATCAGTCTTGGTACAGTATTTTTTTCTCACAACAAATCAGCCAACAATACTTTTCAGCCCGACTTTTCAGCGAAGCGAACAGAAACAACTACGAGTTGTTTCTTGGACACGTCATGCGTGCTCTGATAAACATTTGTTTAGAGAAGAAGAGCTCGCAACAGCTCTGCATTCCAAATCCAACCACTCCTCTCAGAAGTCACAAACGAGGCTAACTAGTGATAGATGTTCAAACAGTATGATACGACGAGCCACTGACTTTCACTTGCCTCTCAAGAAAAAAATTGCAGTAAATTATCGTGCATGCACCCGGTTTATCCATCAACGCTATCATTTGACACACACAACCCCAGTGCAACATCTGGGTTCTTTGAATTTTAGTCTTTCAAATGATCAAATAAAATGTATTGCCCTTTACAAACGTTCTCTGGACTATGGTTCCCTTTTCAAAAGGACAACGAGCCTATAAGGCTTGAAGTTTTATAAAAAAGGGGAAAATTTCGTAGTATCATCTTGATATGCTTATAATACAACACAACATATCAACAATGAACATGCGGTAAACGACGCCTCCTTTATTCAAGCAGTGGTTTATTGCGACACATGAGAAGTCCTCCGTTGAAAGAAGGCAGAACAATCTCAAAGGTCATAGCTTGCTGCGATTTGAGAGTTCCTGCGCTAGTTGATCCCTCAGAACCCTTCTCAGCAGCTTGTTCGAAGCTGTTCTTGGGAACTCAGGAACGACTTTGACATAGCTCACCTGTAAGATCAATTGACGATTCCAGTGATTTTAGTGTACACATGTTTATCAGATCATTCGACCTCAATGGCAGAAAGGGGAAGGTCTTATTATACCTTGAAGAGAGGATTGAGGTTCTTCTGAATGGCTGTCTGAAACTTCCTCTTGAGAAGATTCACGTCATACTGGGCCGATCTATCTTTTAGCACTGCTAAGATAGCTAGATGTTCTGGCCCCCCACCAGAAGGTTTGATGCTAACTGTTGCTGTTTCTAGCAGACACTCGTCAGCTCTGTTGCATACCCGTTCTATCTCAACTGAACTGGTCTGCATATGCAGGTGATAAAAGTTATGGTTTCCTTCATGTAACACAAGGATGATAGCAAATGATTAAACACTTTGAAAAGAGGGGCATTCAACCTTAATTCCTCCAAGGTTCATGGTGTCATCCGCCCTTCCCTGTACAATATAGTACCCACCTACTGTCCTCTGGATTACATCTCCATGTCGTCTGAGTTGCTATAACACAATTGGAAAGTAAAGATTACTCACCAGTTTGTTTTATAACCTATACCTTCTAATAGAATGTCACTGCATTCAGTACTCCAATTTTGTACAGCAAACAATTATACACGCGAACAATGCAGATATTGTATATGTTCTGTGAAAGAAAATTCATGACAGACTATAGCATATACTAGATAGCCAAGCAGTGACATATCCACACAGTTTATCTAATAAAATCAAATAGGAAACACTTACTTACTAAATAAATATACAAACGAGAAGATATGCAAGTCCATACCCTTCCTTTATAAATGGGCATTCCATCAAAGTAAACCTTGTCATGATCAGCATTGAGAAGCCGATCACTAGCACCAAAATACAAAGGGAAGAGACCCACTTCTCCAGTGCAAGGTACATCATCAGGCTATCATAGCAAACTTAGCTGGTTATGCCTCGAATGCATTAAACAAAATGGAAATTTTAAGGGACAATACTTACATACGGAGTTCCCTGTTCATCAAGTATGACAAACCCAGTGGACATTGATGCGCCACTAAAAGCTCCAAAGACCTGTGGTCGCAAAAGACTCCCTTGAATGTATGAGGATGCCAACTCTGTGCCCCCACAGCACTCAACAATGGGCTTGTATGAGGCACGCGAAGTTAGCCACAGATTGTCATCAATATCAGAGGCCTCCCCTGTTGTGCCCAGTACTCTGCAAGAATAATACTGTATCTGTCCTTCTACCAGGTTGTGATGAAGATGGATACATTCTGATAGGTGCCACTCACCTGATTTTGGTCCAGTCAAGACCTTCAGCACAGTTCCCAGCTTTCCATGACTTCACCAAGCTAGGCACACTTCCTAATACAGTCACACCAGCATCCTGCAAAATATTTTGGAGGAATGCATTGCTCAGCATAAAAGGACTTCAGCATATAACACTGAAGAAAAATGATTTTTCAAGAATGTCAAGTGTTTTCTTTGAAGACTATAATAGTGTGTCAAGGTTTGAGGTTGGGTAGTTATTCAGCAGAGGTATGCTAGAGTTATCAACAAACAAATGTGAAGTAAGATGTGTCCATGCTACGTGCAAGGTGACTAATGGAACATAACATACTGAAGCTCAAAACTTACAGAACTACAATATATGCAAGTGGCAAGGGTGGATCCTTTTGGCAGCTGAAAAGCAGATGATGGTGCACGTTATGCCAAACACACCTGTACAAATTTGCAGAAATCGCGTCCAAGTGGAGATCCATGATATAAAGCCAAAGTTGCCCCAGTTAGAAAGCATGAGTATATGATTATTGGTCCCATAACCCAGCCCAGATTAGTCGGCCAGCAACCTATGTCACATGGACGAACATCCAAATGCGCCCAGGTATCAGATGCACATCTTATGGGAGAAAGTTGTGTCCACGGTATTGCTTTTGGCTCCCCTTCACAAGAAAAAAATGGAACAGAAATTAACAAATGTGAACCTCAAATATAGGGCAAGCGGAAATGGGAAAAGGAAGAGGGTTCTAGGACATACCAGTTGTTCCTGAAGAAAATAGTATATTAGTTAGTGCATCCAGAGATTGATAAACTGGAGAATAAGAAGATGACCTGCAAATCCAATAGATATATGTACCTTATATGAAGAAATTGCCTTTTTTTTTGCAATGAAGGTGTGCTCAATTTTATGAAAGAAGAATTTCAGAATCACCAAAGCTCAAATTTCCATCTATTCATGTGCGACAAAGAGACAAAACTTGAGCACCTACCTTCCAGCAGCACGAGAAAGAAAATCTTTCCAGGACATATCACCATTCCTTAGCATAATTCCAAGAGAGTCTCCAATCGCAGGAATCACAACAGCTTTAGATGAAGTCCCTTGTACGACACGGCTGAAGAATAGAATTATTATGAACTGCTCAGATGTGTGGTGATGGTTAGTATGTACAAGTATTTTAGTTCACTTAAAGATAAGGTATATATAAAGCTGTCCAACTAATCTAAGCTGATGGTTTCATAGGACTAGATCTTATTTAACTGCAAACTGTAAAAATTACATATTAGGTACAAAACTGTACAATAAATAACAAACTCTCATTTTTTAAATGAACAGATTAATTTTACCAGAGCGTGAATTTGAACTAACTGATCAGTCATACCTGTAAAGTGGAACTTTCTTCCCTCCTCTAACAATGAAATCCTGAAGTTTGTGTAATTCAGAATGAGCCCACAGATAGCACTAAACAGATGTACCATGAAAGGCTTCTTTAATCTCTCACCTGGGTAAAAATTGCTTTTGCTTTTGAGACACCCATACGACTACCAATCTCCTGAGGCGCAAAACTATCTGCTATAGATACAACAACAAAGCCACCAAGGATGATTGCCAAATATATGATGACTGCATTGCATGTCATAGGCATGTCTATTGCAATCCGGTCGCCCTTCTCAAACATGGCATCTAAGGCATGTGCAACAGTTCTGATAAAAGGACATAGCAACATAGAAAGCCACCATGAATAATATTTTAGAGAAAGAAAAAGATACACTTCAACTCTTTGTTTGGAAATGACAAACACACATCACTTGAGTGCGAAGCTCCTTCAGTGACATATGGTTCACTGGATAATCATCAAGGCCTTCATCCCTCCAGATGATAGCTGTACTGTCATCTGTCCTCTTCAGGGAAGGACAAGGCAGCAGACAACATTCAGCAATGTTGAGCACTGCACCTTGAAGCCATGTCCCCCCTTTCTTTGATCTATCTGATGTACTTAGAATTGACCTTGGTTCTTGTTTAAAATTGACTGCGAGTTGCTTTAGCACCATTGACCAGTAGGCCTAAAAAGGGAATCACATAGGAAAGCAGGATCACACTTTATGATGACAAATCGTGAAAAAAGACAGAAATTCTGAAGTGTTCTTTTTTGGCGTTTTACTTGTACATATTTGAGTGATTTAGAGTAACTGACCTCTTGGTTCTCTACGGAAAACCTGTAAAAGTGGCTAAGACTTGATATAGGGTCCTTATATGACGATCCTAACAGCTTTGGTCCATTTGCTTCCATCAATCTCCCCAGGTTTGTTTGCTTACAGTCAATTCTGCGAGAATCGAAACACTTATGCCACTAATTACATACAGCATACTCGATATTAGAAAGCATCGACAGCCTAGCTAGCTGCTTTACTGCTGGTTGGTACTGCTTGAGATTTGCAATGGTGCATGTCATATTCACATCACACAATAGTCAAGCTGAGCAAACTTGGCAAACAGATGGGTGCAAGCTAAGCTACTAGAAATCAAGCTGCCTTGTTCACGTCCCAAAATCACTAGGAGCGCGACCGGCGATCGACTTACGGCGACGGGAACCAGTACGGCGGCGGGCCCCGGGCGTCGCGGTCCCACCCGGCGTAGGCGGAGTAGTAGACGAGCTGGTGGAGCGCGTGCGGGTGCTCCGGCCGCAGCACCCCCGCCGCGGCCACCGCCGCCCACACGGCGTCCCGCGTGGCTCCCGAGCCCGCGGCGGCCGCGGCGGAGCGGAGCGCGGCGAGGAACGCGGCCGCGTCGGCTGCGGCGAGCCCCGCGGCCTCCACGTCGCGCGGCTGGATCTCCCACACGCTCCCCCTCGCGCTCGCCGCCATGATGGCCGCCCGCGCTGGCGGCTAGCGATCGCCTTTCACTTGCTCGCTCGCTCGAGCTCTTCGGCCGGCCTGCCGCCTGCAGTGTCCGTTTGACCGTTTCTGTGCGTGCCGCGCGGAAGCTGAGCAGTCGCGGGCTCGGGGCAGGTGGGGTTCTTTTCGATCGAGTAGGTAGGAGGTGTGGTCTGGGATATGACCTCCGGCGCCAGCACGTGCGGCCGAGTGCCGTTTGCCGTTTGGTAGAGCTCGCGTGCTGAGGTGACTATGGCGCCACTGGATGCATAAAATAAGTTGGTAACATCTAGAAAAAAAAACTTTAGATAATCCAAACAACGTAGATTATAGTTTAATTGAAAGCTTATTTTGAACTATTCAACTACTGAAGAAACTGCTACAGAGAATTTTCGAGAAATTTCAATATTTGACCTTCAGTTCGTGCCCCTCTCATGATTTGACATCTAATTCGCGAGTCTTTCAAAATATAACACTGCTCATGCGAATTCTTTCAATACGGGGGTTTTCTCTCTTTTACTCTCTTTTCTTATTTCCATTATATCTCTTTCACTATTCTGAGCATGGGGAAAGACCATAGTGCTCCTCCCTGGGAACGCTTGGTTCGCTTCTTGTTCCTGAAGAACAGGAAGACAACGGAGCCAAGCAGGTGAGCAGCATGACGGCGAGCCCACTCACCAGGGTGCACACCGGCCATGACGGGCGTGGAGAACCCCGAGCCGCAGGCCAGCGACACCGAGGCCGAAGCCGCCGTGGCACCATCGTCGTCCAGTTGATGGCGTTGTTCAGCCCTTCCTCGTGCAGCTTGTTGGTGCGCATGCGCTTCGCGATGCCCTGCATGCGCACGAGCGTCTGCCGCGTCTGCTCCAGCTGCGAGTGCACTTCGTTCTTGATGTCGCTCACCTGCTGCTTCAGCTCGCGCGCCTGCTTGTTGCCGCCGCCGCTCGGGTTGATGGCGCGCGCCCTTGGCGGCCATGTGTAGCGCGGTCTGGCCCTTCTTGTCGTGCGCAGCGCAATGCTGGGCTCCGCCTCCAGCAGAGCGCGCACCACCTCCGCGTGCCCGTTCCGCGCCACCGAGTGCAGCCCCGTCTTGCCGTACTCGGCGGCCACGAACAGCGGCGTCTCCCCGGCCTGGTTCTGCCTGGACAGCAGCGCCCCGAACTCCTTGGCGTCCTTGCCGGACATCATCTCCCAGCATGGCCGTGCTCGTCCTGGGCATGGGCCTGGGCACGCGCGGAGCGCTCTGCCTGGCCGCGTTCGTCCTTGGTGCGCGCCGGGTGGGGGCTGACGGCGGACGGTGGACCGGCGCCGGAGTAGCCGGGACCGGGCGGCGGCTGGAGCGGCGCGTGCTCTGCGAGTCGCGACCCCGCGACTGGTGTTCGAACGAACCAAGCGAAGCCTCCGTCTCCGAGTCTTCTTGTCCAGGGAGGGGCACTATGGTCTTTTCCCATGCTCAGAATAGTGAAAGAGATATAATAGAAATAAGAAAAATGAGGAAAAGAGAGAAAACCCTCGGATTGAAAGAATTCGTATGACCTGGGTTACATTTTGAAAGGCTCGCGAATTGGGTGTTACATCTTGAGAAGCGCCGAAGTTAGGGTTAAATATTGAAATTTCTAGAGAATCCCCCCTTCTCTCACGCGTCGTCTCTGTACAGACGACTCGGGGGCGACCTAGCCCCGCCGCCGGGACCCCACCACGCCGGCTCCCTGGCCACCGCCGCCGCTCCTCGGCTAGCGGTGGCGGCAGCCAGCTACGGCACCCAAAAAGGCCCTCCGCAGCAGTCTCCACCTCCCTTTACCGGGAAATTTACATTTTTACCATTATAACGAAAGCCACTTATTCGAATATCATCCTTAGAATGTCACTTACAAATATACCGAAGAGAGAAGTTTTAACATCGGATTTGCCATATTTGCGCATGTGCATGCCACGTAAGCCTAACACGTTAGCGCCCAGTCAGCTAGGGCATGTGAAAAGTCCTTTCTGCCCCTACTTTGCTCCTCTCTCTTCTTCCCTGACAGCTGGGTCCCGTAGCTTCTCTCACTGCCATGTGGGCCCCAGTCGTCAGCTTCATCTCCTACCTCCGGCTGCTTCAACTCCTCTGGCTGCCAGCGTCGAACGCCCATGACTCATGCACCGGCGGCGGACATGGTAGGCCCAGGAGGGGCGCTCGCCGCGGTCCGCACTTCCTCGTGCTCGTGCTCCGCTGCTTCCTCGCCGGTGAACGCCCGCATCTCCACACACGTGGCCGCTAGCGGCCTCTGCCAGCACCAGCGAGCCAGCTTGCCCTGTCGCCAGTTTCCCCTGCTACCAAGCGGCTGCCAAACGGCACACTGCCGTGACTCCCAAGCTTCCCCTACCTCGCTCTCCTCCCACGCCCGGCTGTCAGAGAGGAAGAGAGAGAAGCAAGGCAGGGGCAGGAAGGACTTTGACATGTCCTGGCTGACTGGGCGCCAATGTGTTAGGCTGGCGTGACATGCCACATGTACAATTATGACAAATCCGATGTTAAAACTTCTCACATCTGGTATACTTGTAAGTGGGTTCTAAGAATGATATTCGAATGAGTGACTTTTGTTATAATCTCTACAACTAAAACATACGGATTGTCAACGTCTACCCAGCAGGACTAAAACACTCATGCGATCCATATTGGTAGGCAAATAATCACCGCATCTCATGCGATCCATATCCGACAGGCAAATAATTACCGCATGGAGACACTGGAAGGCAAGTAAATAAAATAGAATAAAACTCACAGAATCATCGGCAGACAAATAATCACCGTATGGAGACACTGGAAGGCAAGTAAATAAAATAGAATAAAACAGAAAGAGAATTATGGGAAGAGAAAGGAATTTATTGGAATATCACCATGCAATGATCATGATCGTGATCCAAATCTCGTTCGTCGTCCTTCGCGTGTGTGTTGACAACAAATACTTTTTTCTCTTCTCTTCTCTACAACTAAAATATACGGATTGTCAACATCTACCCGGCAGGACCAAAACACTCATACGATCCATATCCGGTAGGCAAATAATCACCGCATGGAGACACTGGAAGGCAAGTAAATAAAATAGAATAAAACTCACGGAATCACCGGCAGACAAATAATCACCGCATGGAGACACTGGAAGACAAGTAAATAAAATGGAATAAAACGGAAAGGGAATTATGGAAAGAGAAATGAATTTATTGGAATATCACCATGCAATGATCATGATCGTGATCCAAATATCATTCATCGTCCTTCGCGTTGCGTGTTGACAACAAATACTTTTTTTCCCAAAAAATAATTATTGCCATGCCTCATGCGGGCTAGAATATTGTAAGTCTGAGTATACATGTTTTGGCTAGGCAGAGCATGGATAAATTCAATTCGATGCCTAGCAATAAATTTTTAGTCTTTGAAGCAACTGATGTTTATCGTAACTTTCAGACAACAAGCTCCAAGCCTAGCTTTTATTTCAGATTCATTACGATAATGAATGTGTTTCTAGACATTATCATGGTATAATACACGTGAAAAATTTAATTGATATATTCTTGATTTTGACTTGGCTAACAAACATCTCATTCAATTTATGTTGCACCCGTTGCAACGCACATGCACTCATCTAGTAGTAAAAATGTAAATTTCCCCCTTACCTCTCCTCCCCTCTTCCTCGTTCGAGTTTGAATTTCTCTGAAGCAAGGTTGGTCGACGGCGACCTGCAGGCACCAGATCCGAGCCCTCGCAAGGAGGTTGACGGCGGCGAGCGGTGAGCCGGTCGATGGAAGCGAAAAGGCCCGCCCTGGGCCTAGCTCCCGGATGCAACGAACGGTGTGGGGCACGGTGGTCGGTGGGCACTGTTGTCGCTGGTCGGCGCCTAGGCATGTGCATGCGTGGCAGTCAGCGAGGACGCGTGCAGCTCACGCGGATGCGGGTCCCAAATGTGTGGGCCTTCGCTTGGCGGCGAGTGCGGCGCGGACTAAGGCGCCGCCAAGGCACGTGGCCAGGTCAGATCCGACTCCGCCCCCACCAGGTTCGCAGACGCGGAGATTGAAGCCTCTGACGGCACGGTCTACTTCTTCGACGCGAGCACCAGGTTCGGCTTCGATAGGTGGCTCCACAACTTCGTAGAGGCCGGCACCACCGGCTGCCTCCTCCGGTACGACCCACGCAGCGGCGAGACATTGTGCTCGACCGACTCGGCTTCGCCAACGGCGTCGCCCTACCAAGGACGAGACCTTCGTGGTCGTCTACGAGTCAACTAGGTTTAGGACCGCGTCCACTCCATGGAGGAGTATGACTACGCCCGCGCGACATCGATCCTGGAGGCTAGTCGCCTTCTGCCAGAGTCACGTGCGTTGCTGTCCTGGGACCAGCAAACGTAGGCGCTGATGGCTGAGCTACGAGAGTTGTAGGAGCGCGTGCTGAGCTTGTGGCCGGACGCACGATGACCTGAGGCCCCCGTCCATGGGCCACAATATGGCTGTGTTCTGGTGCTGCGCGGGACCTCCGTGGAACTGCTTGTCTATGCTCACGACGCTCGAGCTCCCCATCGGGAGGTGGGCAATGGGCGCGGTGTCGCTCCGGGCTTGTCCTCCCGGCTTCCGAGAGGATGGGCTATAGTTCATGGGTTAGGAGCTTAGGCGAAAGCCATGCACGACCTTATCTGCGCAACCGACGGCGACGCCCTCCGGTGTCGTTTCCCTCCTCGGAGGCATCGATGAAGTAGGCTTCCCACCCTATGACTGTAGAACTGTTCCTCTCCTTCTGGTGAAAACCTAGCTCTAGTTATCTAGAGCTAGTGGTGGCGGTGTCAACAACGTCGTGTCCCTCCTGAGGGTGCCACTGTGGAGGGTGTCAACATTTCTTAGTGTTGCTACTAAGAACAGAGTTTTAAATCTAGTCCCTACCAACAGCACTAGAAATACTTGTTGGTATTTATTAACGTGTCACTTGTTTTGTAAGTAGCCACCTATTATAAATCTATATTTCC